CAACACAGCAATTTTGTCTATTGATTTTTTTAATGGCCCATTCTATGCTTAACTTGGGTGATGAACCACGGGCATCTTGGTTTGGATGAAGGTAATCTTTCTGTCCATAATTCTCATCACCTTCCATAAATAATTCCATGCATCATGATGAGGTATCTGACTCCACACAGTGCATCTCCACGGCCAGGGTGCTGCAGTGTGATGCGGGACTGGGGGAAGGAGTCATCACTTCCCAGCATCACTGACTGATGGCCCTTGGGCAGCTTCCTCCCTCTCCTGAGCCTGCAGCACTGTGCACTGTGCCACGCCAAMTTACCCATCTTCAGCCTTTCTGGGCTTTTCAGCATCTGTACCTGAGCAGTGTCACCCTTTTGTCGGGGTTGGACAGGTTGGTGCCCCCGTAAGATGCTGTAGGACGCACACAAGCTCCTTGGGTTGGAAGCTGTGGTGTAACTTGCTGTTTTCCTYGTCCCAGATTTCATCTTCCAGAAGGAGCTGTTTGCTTCAAGAGACACAGGTGAGCTGAGCGGGCCATGGCACGGGCTTTGTGGGTTAAGACCCTCTTGGGGAGTGCTTTGGGGAGGTTATGGGACATGCCTGGGTGCACCGTGAACCTGCTCTGGTCCCTTGGGCAGGGGAGCACCAGCTCCATGCTGTGCAGTTCTGGCAGTGAGCGCTGTATTGCATCCCCCCTGGGCTCTTCAGTCCTCTTCTCCCCAGCCCTTTGGCCTCTCTGCGTGCCTCTCCAGGGCACACAAGGTTGTGCTCCTGCTGGAAAATGGTTCCTGGCCCTGCAAAGAAGGGACCATCACAATCTGGCCACAGGGCAGTCCTAGACCCATTCCTTGCTTCTCTCCCTGCAACTTGTGTGTCTCCTCTGCAGCTAAATAGGGACACAAAAAGTGCCTCCAGAGGACTCCTGGAGTGGCAGAGAGAAGTCCAGGAATGCCAGGGGATTTCTGAGTGCTAGACAAGAGCGGTGCCAGCCTGGGAAACTAAGGAAATCTGCCAGGACAGGCTGGCAGGTCTGATATTCTCCCTTTCTGTCCTCGCTCTCCTTGCAGATCCCATGCACAACCTCTCTGCTCAGCCCTGGCAGGCAAAGATGGCCAACCTGACCTATGACAACTTCACCCTGGGCAACCACTCCGAGGTGGCCGTGCAGCCTCCCACCAACTACAAGACAGTGGAGCTGGTTTTCATCGCCACTGTCACCGGCTCACTCAGCCTTGTCACTGTGGTGGGGAACATCCTGGTGATGCTCTCCATCAAGGTGAACCGCCAGCTCCAGACTGTCAACAACTACTTCCTCTTCAGCCTGGCGTGCGCCGACCTCATCATYGGGGTCTTCTCCATGAACCTCTACACGGTCTACATCATCAAAGGCTACTGGCCACTGGGGGCTGTGGTGTGCGACCTGTGGCTGGCTCTGGACTATGTGGTGAGCAATGCCTCTGTCATGAACCTGCTCATCATCAGCTTTGACCGATACTTCTGTGTCACCAAGCCCCTGACGTACCCGGCCAGGAGGACCACCAAGATGGCAGGGCTAATGATCGCGGCTGCATGGATATTGTCCTTCATTCTCTGGGCCCCTGCCATCTTGTTCTGGCAGTTCATTGTGGGCAAGAGGACAGTTCCYGAGAGGGAATGCTACATCCAGTTCCTCTCCAACCCAGCGGTGACCTTCGGCACAGCAATCGCCGCTTTCTACCTGCCCGTGGTCATCATGACGGTGCTGTACATCCACATCTCCCTGGCCAGCAGAAGCAGGGTGAGGAGACACAAGCCTGAAAGCAGGAAAGAGAGGAAAACCAAGTCGCTCAGATTCATCAAGGGCCCCCTGGTCAAACAGAACAACAATAACTCTCCCAAGAAGGCCGTGGAGGTGAAGGAGGAGGTGAGGAATGGGAAAGTGGAGGACCAGCCATCTGCACAGACAGAAGCCACCGGCCATCAGGAGGAGAAGGAGACATCCAATGAGTCCAGCACTGTCAGCATGACCCAGACCACAAAAGACAAGCCCACAGCAGAAATCTTGCCAGCAGGGCAAGGACAGAGTCCAGCCAACCCCCGGGTAAACCCAACTTCCAAGTGGTCCAAGATTAAGATTGTCACCAAGCAGAGTGGGAGTGAATGTGTCACCGCCATTGAGATTGTCCCAGCTAAGGGAGGAGCCTCTAACCACAACTCCCTGGCCAACAGCCGTCCGGTCAATGTTGCCAGGAAGTTTGCCAGCATCGCCAGGAGCCAAGTACGAAAGAAGCGCCAGATGGCTGCCCGAGAGAAGAAAGTCACCCGGACCATATTTGCCATCCTGCTGGCCTTCATACTCACATGGACTCCCTACAACGTGATGGTCCTCATTAACACCTTCTGTGAGACCTGTGTGCCCGAAACAGTGTGGTCCATCGGCTACTGGCTCTGCTATGTCAACAGCACCATCAACCCAGCCTGCTATGCCCTCTGCAATGCCACGTTCAAGAAAACCTTCAAGCACCTTCTCATGTGCCAGTACAGGAACATTGGCACAGCCAGATAAACTGGCACTCAGGGACCACTTCAGTAACGTTATGGAAACCCTTCCCTTTGCCTCCTTTGCCAGCGGGGGTTCCTCTGCTCCCCACTCACAACAATGCAGACTGTGCAGTGATTGCAGATGACACCCTTCACCCAAAGCTGACAAAGATCCACGGCATCTCTGAGCTGCAGGTCCTTCCAGACATCTGGGCCTGGGGACTAGCTTGGGGAGCCAGTGGGAAAGCCAGAGGCAAGAGGAGGAGATGTGGTCATCAGGAGCCTTCCCAGCTCCCTAACTGGCCAAATGGCATCAGTGTTTCTCCTAAGACTGGATATACTTTTCCCCCGGCTGACAATCTCCAAGGCATCAGAGCTTGTCTGCATGCAGATGGGCTAATGCTGGATGCTTTCCATTGGCTTCTGAAGTGTTTATTACCCAAGAAACGAAAAGAAACCAGGGTCAAACATTTGCTAGACATCTTGGAGCAGGCTGGCTCAGGCATGCTAATGGGGAGTCCTGCTGGCCCAGCCAGGCCCCCTGCAAAGGCAGTCAAGATTGCACACTAACAGATGTTGCAAGCTGCTTCCTTTCCCTTGAGAGTGCCATTGGACTTCCTCACCCAGGGACCTGGGGCAGAACTTTTACCCGGGCTCTGGCTCTGCTCTCCCCTTCATGCCCTTTCTGTCCTTAAACAGCAACTTGCTGGAAAGACAGACAGACAAACCAAGCATTTCACTCCTGGGTGASGAGTGTGAAACCCAGTCGCCTCTGACAATAATGGAAACTAAAACTGCAAAGAAAAGCAGTGGTGTGGTGCAGGACTTCACTCCACAGCCCTGGGGGAATGGGTCAGCAGTGACCGTGTATAATTACTCCTTGGGAGGAACAGGGGGGACCTGGGGGTCTCAGAGGAGGGCAGGAAGAGGGTCTGCAATGTGGCCAAGGCACCCCGTTTCTCACCCGGGCCGTGAACAGGTTCCCACTGTCCCCAGGGCGGGTGTGATGCGTGGCTCTGGAGGCAGGAGAGGATGGCAGCAGCCTCCAGCTGCACTCCTGCCCCGGGTGCWGGGGGATGCTCCAGGGAGGCCGAAGGAACGGGTTGCTGAGCTTTGTACATGGATGTAACACTGTCATGGGTGTTGTGGCAGAGCCCTCAGCATGCGGGCTTCAGCCAGTGTCTCCAGCCTCTTCCCAGCCTCCTCCCAGCCCACTGTGTGTGCAACCCAGCCCACCCCGGGGCTGCTCCCCAGCTTCTGCCACGCCAGGTACCAGCCTCGGTGGACACAGCCAGGTGCAGACAAGGGAGGGATGGGGCCACTCCAGCACTGGCAAACGCTGTGTCCGTATGTCCTTCCTGTCCTCATACCAGAGTGCAACCTGCAGAAAGGCTGCCCCAACCCAGATGGGAGCCCCTCCACCAATGCCTTTAAGGGTGCCCAAAATGCCTGGTGGGTTTCTGGGTATTTTTAAAAGGTTACAAACTGCAGCGCAACACACTCCAAGACGAATAAAGACCTTGGATCAGGAAACTAATGGCCATGGTGTGAGAAATGAATGACTCATCACCTGGGTGGCTTCTTCCCAGCTTCCCAGYGTCACCCACTGGTGACATTTCCTGCAGACCCTCCCTTCTGCCAAGACTAAGGGAGGGGGCAGCCTGAAGCGTTGCTGCAAAGAGGCTGGAGGTCTGGCCCATGTTCTTTGTCCAGGATGTGGCACCGAGGTCACCACCAGCCGCTGCATGATAACTTCACTGYGGGTGCCAGTGGGCTCAGCAAAACTGGGGTTTGCCAGGGTTTCCAGCACAGTAGCTTCTGTGGGGACAACAGGTGGTTCTCATACTTTTTTTAAAAAGATTTTTATTGGAAAAGAAAAAAAAAACATTTTCCAAAAGGAGTGAGAGCTCCCACCCAGCACTGGTGCTGGCATGGTAAAGGCAGAGGGGCTGCAGCCCCAGCACGGACACACATGGTTAGAATTGACAGAAAAGAGATGTGGTGGCTTCTCTGGGTGGTGGTTGTGTTTTCCTCAATTGCTGCAGGTAAGTTGTGGTTGCACCAAAGGGATGTTGGAATAAACTCCCTGAGCAATCCTTGAGTGAGAAGCTTTGAGTGATGGCTTTACTTGGGCATTCAACATCCAGCTCTTCCCTCTGGTGGAGGAGTGAGGAAGCTCCTGGTCTTGCCAATGAACGCACTAGAGGCAACTCATTTGTGCTGGAGGGTGGAAAAATGTGTGTTCCATCCCAGTGAACCCCAACACCAGCCAAGAGGAGGGGAGCAGGGTGCACTGGCAGTGACCGTGGGGCAAGGATGGGAAGCAGCCTATCCTGCAGGGTGGGTGGGTTTGCTCTCTACAACACTAATGATTAAAAACAAGGCACCTCAGTGAAAGAGGAGGTCATGGAAAGGAGCAGGGAGAGGAGAAGGAAGACTGTAGTGTGGCCCAGCTGCAGCTGGACATCCAGTCCTGAAGGCACCATGTCGAGGAGCCRATGAGGATGCTGGCTTCCTGCTCTAGTCCTTCCCCTTGCCCTTCTTTGCTGCATTCAAGAAGCACAGGAGACAAGAGTTAGTGCATCTGCTGGCAGCTCACAGTGCCCCAGACACTGCTGGGTAGAAACACAGACAGCATGGCTGGCTTGGCACAGCGCAGTGGCCGTGTCCCTGCAGGCAGCTCCCACCATGCCAAACCACACTCTGCACCAGTACCATGAGGAGTGCAGGGAATCCTCAGCCCAGCAAAGCTGGCAGTGGTTTGTGGGCGGACCAGGATTTTTCCTAGCAGCACCTGTATCCTCCCACCCAGCCAGCAGCTGAACTTTGCAGTGCAAAGGAAAGAGCATCCTACATAATCCCCACACCACCAGCAAATCTCAATCCCAAGACGCCAAGGTGCCTCTGACAGCCCCCTGCACAGGGTCGCAACAGGACTCTCTGGGGACAGGAGYGGTGGGAACTGACCTTTGGACTTTGACTTGATCTTGGAGGAGCAGGGCTTGGTCACATAGACAATCTCCTCACACTGGGCATTGTACAGGGCTTTCTTCAGGATGCCAGAGCGAGTCTTCAGACCTGTCTGAGCACTACAGCCTCCCCAGCTCTCAAACTTGTACTTGCAGTCAGCTGGATGAAAGGGGACAGGCATCAGAGCTGGCCAGGAYCTGGTGCAACACTAGCCCCAGTCACCCAGCACAGGGTGCTCCCCAGCCACCCCGCTTCCATGTACCCACCTCCAAATTTTTTCTTCCAGTTGCAAGGGATCTTGCACTTGAGCTTCTTACTCTCATCTTTGCAAGTTCCCTCACGATAACCCAGGCCACAGTCCTTACTGTTGGGAACACAGGGTCCCCAGCGCCAATCCTCGCACTTGGAGCCATCCTTCTTTGCCTTCTCTGCGTGGAAAAGTGGAGTGGGTGCTCTCTGCAGGGACAGAGGAGCATGCCCCACTCTGCCCCCCACTCCCCTAACCCCTGCGCCAGGCTGCCCCTCACCTTTCTTGTTCTTGCCAGCCTCAGCAGTGGCAGCCACCAGGATCAGCGCCAGGAGGAGGAGGAGGCCCCGGACCTGCATCCTGCCTGTGGAAGAAGGAGAGGGTGAGGAGGGTTGGAAGCAGGGTGCAATGTGGTGGGCTGTGGGCAGCCTGCGTAGGAGTAAGACAGAGCTGCCTCCAGTGCACACACTCAACTACACGTGTGTACACCTCTGCTCCCTGCTTGTTGCACCCATTAGAACATGTTCATTAATTCCAACAGGAAGGTTAATTGTGTACCTCAACTGCTGCCTCCCACCAGGGAGCTGCAGGAATGAGAGATTGTTCTCACCCCTGCAGCCCCCCCATTGCCCTGCATGTGGTCCAAATGCTCTCCACGGGGACYCCCGCAGCCCACACAGCATCTGGGGATGGCCCTACATTTGGGTGCCAGTTGCCAGCCCTTACTCCCCATATTTCTCTGTGCAGCTTTAATCCATTATTCAACAGGCTTCTGCTTCATACTAAAAAGCCTTGGGGCCGGGGGCACAGCTCTCATAGTACCTTATTCCAGTTCCACAGGATGCCAGGAAGAAAGAAAAAAGCCCAGTAAAAACAAACCTGCTGCCATGAGGGGTCTGAGAATTAATCAGAAGATTAAACACCAAAAAAAARCATCCACAGTATGGGAGCTCATTGAAGGGAGTGCTGAGCCCACTGCCCGCACCACTTGTGCATGGAGGCGGTATGCAGGTGTGCACGCACCTGGAGCAGGCTGGGGACAAGGGTGCACACACATGAGGGYTCGGCTCTGGGGATTGTGCCCTGTTCCCTTGTCCCAGTGGCCTTGGACCATGTGATGGTTCCCCTCTGGCTGCCACCATGAGATTCTGTGGGATGCTGCTGCCARCACAGGAGTGTTGAGCCGGAGCAGGAGTGCAGATGTGCAGAGACAGCATTTCAAGTCTGGAGACCCCTTCCCTGCTCCCCCAAAGCCTTTTAGGATGCCACCCATAGCTGTGTGGCAGCAGCCATCCAGAAAATACATAGCACCTGCCTTGGCTCTGTGCTGGGCTTTGCAGGAGTGGGCCGTAGAGGACAGGATGAACCACAGGCCCCRGGGGCCATCAACGCAGGGAAGAGCTCGGGGTCAGCATTTGCTCCTTCCCCTAGGCTCCCCGGGCAGCATGCCAGAGAGAGCAGCATCCCACATTATTCAGGCTCCARTGCACTCACCTTTCATGCATCTGCCGCCAAGCTGCCGGCTTCACTCTGCATTGAACTGTCACAGGGAATTACACAGACCGGCTGGCTGAGGACACAGTCATGGGGGTGAGATCTGCCTTCCCCCTCACCCAGCCCAGCGGGGAGCCATCCTGCCAAGCACAGCACAGCTCAGCTCTGTTCCCACCCATCTGCCTTCAAAAGGGACWAGAGCTCTGCCCAGACAGGGTTACAGATGACAAGGCTGGAGCTGAGCTGACTTACAAACATGGCTGGCTCGCTTTTTGCACCAATTCTTATGGGGTAGCACCTCTGACATGCACATTATTCACAGCATCCCCCTGGTCTCAGGTGCTCTGTAAATTTCTCCCATCTTTTGCTGTAGAGCATTTCCCTGTGCTCCTTGCACCTACCCCAGCCCAGAATCTTCTGCTCAGGCCCTTCTGACATGGCCTTCCAGCCCCCAGGGCAGACAGCTCCAGGTGTTGTGCTCACCCCTGCTTCACCTCCAGGCATGGACCCCCTCTGCTCCCCATGGTGCAGTGGGGCCCTGCCCATGTGTACACAGGGATGTGAGAAGGATGCCCTCTGAGGGGGGGACGAGCTACAGCCCCAGGGACCCCTGGATCTGCTCCCAGGCTCTGCCCAGCACATCATGTTCCCCAGGCAAAGGTCTGCAAGGGACCTTCAGTCATGGCCCATCCTAAAGCATTCATAAGGGAAAGGGACTGCAGTTTTCCMACTGGTTTTCCAAACAGCCTGGCAAACAAGAGCTGTTCCTGGTTGGGCTGACAGCACCTTCAAGCATGCTCACATAGCCCTGCTCCTCCTGCATCCCTGTGGGGCCCTGGTTTCTGTCCTCCTCAGAYGCTGGCTGGCTCTCACAGAGCATTTGTCTCTCCCAGGATTGAGCTTGCATGAGCAGAGCAGCCTGGAGCCTGACCACATCATGG